TCGCAACCTGACTAGAATCACCGTCAGTCTACCGAACTTACAGTCTACCGAACTTACGGAAGACTGTAAATCTGTGCTGGCAAGCTGCGATGGCAGACTTGGAGATTTCCTGCGCTTGGCCTGGGAAACCCAGGAATTCCCGTACCAAAGGTTCCTCGAAAACATGTCTCTTTTCTTGGGTATGTGAGCAAGCTACGACTCTTATGGACATGGAGCTTAGGAGTGGGGATCCCTTTCATAAGATTCTTGCAAGTAGGTAGTCCCTTAGTGGGCCGATCCGGCCACGTTTTATTAGCATCACAATCATCTGGCCCGCATGCGCCCATGAGCTTCACGCTTGCCGCGGGGTGCGGCCACAAGTAATGGCACCTTGGTCAAGGCAAGGGCCACAGGGGCTTTATAGGGTTTAGGGTTTTCGGGCTATATAGGGATAAGGGAAAAGAGGAAATCGCAAAACTACTAAAGTACTATAGGGTATTTAGGGCAAAATAGTTTGGGCTAGATGGGGGTTGAAAAACCTTGTACAGGGGTTATGTGGGTCATATAGGGGAATGGAAAAGAAAATGGAAGCTACTAATTAGGGAAGAATTTCGGGCTTCGTCATGTTACACCCTTTAATAATGGAATATCGAATGGAAAAGAAATGGAACATGGGATTGGGGGTTCCCTAAATTCCTAGCCTTTGGCTGCACAGTACATGTGATCCTAGCCTAGAAACCCCTTATGGGTTATAGTGGATAGGGTTAGGGTTTAGGGTAATGGCCTGCCCACCGAGTGTGGAATGACGGAATGTCTCTTGAGATTCCGTAAGGACGACTGCAAGGATCCATACCCGTCATTCCCAACACCAAACCCGAACATCTGAATAACAAGGTAGTTCCGCATTTTCTTTTCCATTCATCCAAGATAGCAAACTTGCGGAATCTAAAGACCATGTATATTACTATACAAAGAATAAACAAGACATATATAACCCCTATATGATCCTACCTAGCCCTAGCAATATATATATATATATTCCATCATGCGATGATAGTTTCCATTTTCGTTTCCAATATCCCTCTGAAACCTCAATATACTATAGTAGTTTCCATCTTCCTTTCCGTTATCCCTATAAACCTCTAACGCTAACGAATGCCTATTACACGATGATAATTTCATGTTCTTTTCCCTTATCCCTATCTAATCCCTATATAACCCCTATATAGTCCCCATATAACCCCTATATAACCCTTTTGTAATCCCTATATAACCCCTATCTAATCCCTATATAACCCCTCTATAATCCCTATATACCCTAAACCCTAAACCCTAAAACCCTTAAACCCTTAAACCCTTAAACCCTTAAACCCTAAACCCCTAAACCCTAAACCCTAAACCCTTAAACCCCTCCATAATCCCTATAAACCCCTATACAAACCCTTAGAATGCCCCTAGAGCTCGGGCAGTGGCAAGGCGCCACTCTCCTGACCGCGGCAGGCTTGCTGGGCGGCCTCGGGCTCTGAAACCCGAAACTTTTGGCTAGGGTCTAGGGTCTAGGGTCTAGGGTTTAGGGTTTAGGGTTTAAGGTTTAGGGTTTAGGGGTTTGGGTTTAGGATTTAGGGCCTTTAGACCCTTGAAAAATAGTAGTATAGATGGGGCTCTGTAAAACCAATAAGGGACAATATTTGAGGAACCCAAAGGCCTACCCAGTAGGGGTTATAATGAAGAATCAAAGGGAAAATGAAATGGATATTGGGTGATATAGGTATCCAAGTACACAAATAATACCTACATTGGGCCCTAAAGTCTATGAGCATTACCTACGTTGGCCTACTTATTTGGATCCCTAGGGCTAGCCCTGAACCCTAAACCAGAGGGCTACGGTTAGGGGGCTCTTCAGAGTTTAGAATGTGCGGTTTAGGGCTTCGGGCCTGGGGTTAGGCTTCGTGCGGAGCCCTCGATAAAGCACATAAAGCCTCAAAGCCTCAGCTGCGGCGAAGGCTGAGCTGCTCACCCTGATTTGGGCGCGGACCCCATGGATGCACAGCGACCTTGCCGAAGAGTAACTGCTTGGGTGGCTATACTGACCAGTTGGTAATGGTAATCTACTGCGAGCCAGGAAAGAATTTAAATACAAAGCAGCTGGATCATTCCCAGTCTATCTAGGTAGAAAGCAGAAAATACCTATTGTTCATTATCTTCCTAACGCTTGACATTCAACCATGACAAGTTAGCCAGCCAGGCTTTCAGTGTGCCTTAGGTTGCTCAGTTAGTAGGTATAGCGGGGCGGGTTCAGGAGTGATAAACTCAAGTCTGGAAGGATAGCTATATCAGTAGAGGTAACAAAACACAGAGCATTCAAGTTTTGTTGCAGCATCTAAGACAAAGCGTTTCCATGTAGTTATATACAAAGTTTGGACCGTTTTCATGAACAGCCCTTGGACCTTCTTTCCCATACTAGAAGAATTTTCAACTGCAAATGGGATTCCTGATTGTCAGCTGGTTGCCGCAAGCCTGCTATTTTGGGAGAGGGGAAGGGTAGAGTTGGCCCTCTTAATGGAAAGCCAAGCAGCAGCAACATCCATCGACCACGCATGCCATCTCCGGCCGGTGCGGCAACATGAGTGGTTAACGACTTGATTTATGTGAGCGAAGTTTCCGCACAGGTGGAAAATAGGGCTTTTCTCAAATCAACACTCACATCTGCCACTGTGTGGGACATTCTATGGGGGACTGCGATGGGGCTTGCTGAGGTTCATATGGTAGCCTACGGCACTGCCAAGCTTGAGGACCTGTTCGGTGGTTGCATGCCGGCTTTTCTCCTTCCAAAAGCTGTGGACACAAGTATATTGGGGTAATATTGGGATAATTGAAAATAAAATAGAAACTAGTATAGTATATTGGGTTAAAACTGGGATAATGGAAAATAAAATGGAAACTACTATAGTATATTCAGGTAAGGGAGCTTCAAAATATGCTCTCACACAGATCATTGGGCCGATGTTGTTGCATCGCTGAGCCTCATACTGCAACGTGAAATGCATGCTGCGTCGACTACTCAAGAAGCCGAACCAACGACAAGAACACAACCACAAGCCATTCGCCCCAAGCTCCACCGATCACTATCTCAAGACACTGACCAAACCGTCACATACGGCTGCATGCCGGAAGTCCTAAACCTATAGATGCTTTTAAGTCAGAAGTGCTGCCAGAAACACTCGTGCACACACGGCCGCATCCAACTACTATCTTGTCATGAATAGTGCTCATCTTTTTTTCGTCGGGCCAGGCAGCATGCACTCCTCCCGACATGGGCTCTATGGTAGGAACGATAACAATACTAATTAAAGGACCGGAGAACCCCACATGTCTCGTTTAACCCTAATCTAGGTGAGATGATATTGGGATACCATCGCCCGCTGAAATAAGAAGACATGTATAAAAGAATGCAAACTCTTGAGACCGCATTCCGCGGCGAAACGACGAGCACATTGCGCGAGCGCGAAGTCGGCATCAGCTGCTAGGGTCTTCGGTTTAGGGTTTAGGAGTTAGGGATTTAGGGATTTAGGGCTTTAGGGCTTTAGGGGTTGAGGGTTCAGGGGTTTAGGGCTTAGGTTTTGCAATGCCTTTTGTACCTGCCCCGGCCTGTCAGGCAGGTGAACCGTCTTGCAACAAGGCGGCAGATAGTCCCCCCCTCAAGTAGATAGAATATGGTTTTGGGTATATTATAATAAGATCCTCATATACTTCATATTCTATCTACTTAAGGGGGACTATAAGCTTTCCAGGATCCCTGGCTGGAAAAAGGCAACCACGGACCCGCAGCGGCCTCGCGAGAGCGCAACTGGTGGCAAGTAGAGTGAAGTTCACTATGCCCTAGCCACCAGTGAGTTAGATGGATTGAGACGTAGCCAACTATCTACTGGTTCCTATCCTGTGAGAACTCAAGGAAGTTTCGGACACTAGGTGGATAATTCATGCCAAGACCGTCCAAGTAGCAACTTGAATTACTAACCGCTTTTTTCTGGACCTCCTAAGGCCGTTTCACTATACAAAGCTTCGCCGGATCAGGTGTAAGGGAGTCTGGGCTTGCGCAGTTAAGGATGTAGGGCCTAGGGTAAGGGTTTTTGGGTTCCCGATCCAGGTATGAAGACACCATGCATTCAGGGCTTTCAGGCACAATGTCATGCTTTTAAGCAGCCTTTCGCGGTTCCACGCAGAAAATGGTCCAGTCTGCTTTCCTACATGGCCCAGGGGCCCTTCGCCTTCTGGAAGAGTTTTTCATAAACAGGGGACTCCTTGTACATCCCGTTATACGGTAGCCCTTATCATCGGTAGCCCCAAAACGGACGCCTGATTTTCGGAAACTCCAATCCCCATAACGACCCTATAAACTGGGTTCCATTTCATGTTCTATGTTCTTTTTCATGTGACTCTCCATTGCCAGGGTAGTAACCCTAAACCTACGACCAAAATAGAGCTTCCATTCGATTTTCCATTCTATACAATCCTATCTTTACACGCCTGAACCACACTTGGAGGGTCAGGGGGGCCGAGTAAGTAGGTTAATAACCCCTATCCCCATATTGAACCCCAATCGTCCCCATTATTGACCTACTTACTGGCCCTCACTGACCCTGCAACCCTAAACCCTAAATACCATATTAGTTTCCATTTTCTGTTCCATTATCGCTTATGCATATATGTATATATATTTCTCTCAACCCTCCGCGTAAACTAAACCCTAAAACATGAATAACAAGGTAGCTTCCATTTTGTTTTCCATACTTACTATATAGCATTCTACAAGGATCCTTAGCCCTAACCGAAACCCTAATACCTAAGCCTTAGACCCCAAACCCTGAACCCTAAACCCTGAACCCTGAACCCTAAACCCTAAACCCTGAACCCTGAACCCTAAACCCTAAACCCTGAACCCTAAACCCTGAACCCCTGATTCTTGGATTCCCGCTGCAGGCCGCACCTTGCCGTGAGAACGGTGCGGGCCACGATGCCTGTTAGCGGCGAAGACACTTACCTGTACTTGGAGGGTCAGGGGAACTTAATATAGGGGATATATGGGGGCTATATTGGGGTTATATGGGGATAATGGAAGAGAAAATGGAAACTACTATATACTATTTAGGGTTTTTGGCTTAGGGTCAGGGGGACTTAGTAAGTAGGTTAATAAGGGGATAATTAGGGTTGCTATTGGGTTATAGGGGCTATTAGTTACTAAGTCCCCCTGACCCTCCAAGTAGTCTCCCTTAGGGATATATAAGGTTTTCTAGCAAGTATATAGGGTTATATGGAGTTGTAGACTTGTGCGAAACATGTTGATTGTCACATTTCCTGAAAGTTATACCAGAACAAAAACGACAAAATAGTTCCTGAGGAGACTGCAGTTACTAGCGCCAACCACCATAAGGCCAAGAAAGATCAAGAGGATGGGAATCAGAATCGCGGCTGTCATGAACAGCACAGCAATGACTGCGATGACGATGACGATGATGGCAATAACGACGGGGTTGGTACCCGCCTCCAACTGCGATTCCAGGGACTGTGCCCTTGATGCTACCCCATTCTGAAGCGCTGATGACGCATCATGTCGACGTGCTGCTTGCTTCAACTCCTCCCATGCTGTCTGGTTATCCACGAGTTGCAGGGCGGCCCAAGTGTTTTCACGCCTCTGCATCTCACTCAACTCGGAAAGATGGTCATGGGGGACTTTTGCGCCAAGCTTCGTGACCAGGTGGACAAATGAGACCTCCTTCTCCGCAAGGTTGTCTGCAGCAGTATCGGCTTGCTTCAAGAACTTGTCATCCTGCTTCTTCAGCAGCGCTTCTCGGCACTGGGCCGGCGCGGATGATTTATCACAGTCCTGCATTTCCGTTGCCTCCGTGTGTGCGTCAGCCATAATCGTCTTCAGCTGATCTTCTGTGATTTCTGGAAAGACCTTTTTCAGAAAAGCTTTGGAATCATCAGATGAAGCCATGGCACCTGTTCCCTTGGACTTTGCCTCATTCAAGCCTTTCAGAAGCTCCACCATGGAGCAGGAACTCTCCTTTGGCATTGCAGCAGCAAGGGTTTCCAGGGACTTGTCCACTTTGTCCGCCAACTCAGCCATCTTGTTTTTGAGGTGCGGGCCGCCTTTGTTTTCAACCAAGACTTTGTCATACTGCTCCATGTCTTTCAGCTCGTATGAGATGGTACTCAACTCCACGATGGCCTGGCTTTTTTTGTAGGACTCAATCTTTTGTGACAAGGCATCCACGTCTGCGGCATAGCCCTTTGCCAGGTCAGCCTCAGGCTTCACTGCACATGGGGCAGCATCCGTACAAATTTTGGGATTGATGCAACCCCAAAGTGATCCATCACACAATGGTTCCTCTGCATGGCGGTTGATCTCCTTAAGGCTTGCAGCGGCCTTTTGCAAATCAGCAACGTCCATGAAGACATCCACAGCCGAGCGCTCGGCATTCACAACATAGACCTCTTTGCCAGCCAACAGGAAGAGGAAGAAACAAACCTATTATAATATAGTAGTTTCCATTTTCTTTTCCATTATTCCCTATATTACCCCTATATAATACTCCTATATAA